CCAATCATCCCCACGGCTTTTTGAGACAAATATGCAAATCCCGCTGTGTGTTAATAATTGCCACGTTTCACTGCTTCATACTTATATAATGCGGCGGTTCGGGTCGGGTTGCGGATCTTGCTGCCGGCGTCGGGGTCGGGTTGCGGAACTAATTGGTAATATGTGCGGGTAGCGGGGCGGGTTCGGTATTGCACGTCGCGGGTGCGGGGCGGGAGCGGGTCTTGAAAATCAGACCCATGCAGGACTCTGCCGTGGGTCCACATTTCCGATATGACGTCATATCGGATGCAAATCTGGATCAGCTCCGTTTTTCCCCCGTTTTTAGAGATTTGGGTACGGTGGAAAAGAGAGAGGGTTGTATTTTCTGACGCTGCGTGAGTTCCCGACACCGGGGACACATCTTTATGTAGAAAAGACATCAACAAGTGCATTTTGCATGATGGGTCCCCTTTAACTTGTTCTGTTCAACTAACCTGAGCAATTTAGATAACATACATGACCGCCTCACTGCACATTATCCCTTACCTATTTATTAGTTGACTTCTATTTTGTGCTTGCTAATAATCTGAATCTGTAAAGTAACTAAAGCTCTAGAAGCAAAAGTAGCGTTAAATGAAAATATGAGCACAATAACCTCACATTTGTGCAGTACTAGAGTGAATGTACACACACACACTGCTTCAAGAAATATACGCACTGCAGCACAACTTGTCATAAAGTCATAAAATAAAAGTGGCAGACGTGAACTCTTTTTCCTCCTCGTATCTGGTTATATTTCAAAATGCTACGCTGTAATAACCCAACCAGTCTATATGCAGAAAAAACCCATTGACCACCATTTAAAATAAACCACACTGTAACTCTCCCATTACCAGTAACCTCAGCAAACATTCCCCTTCTTCACATGACCACCCCCACCATCAGTGTATTTACATTACCCGGTATGACTGACCCTAATCGACTGAGGCCCACGGTTCCTAAATCACTAAAAAACAGCGATTGCCACTCGACGACATGTTACATTTTCCAGCCGCCTCACCTCATTTTTATTCTACGTGTGATGCCCCGTGTCATGGAGCAGCGGTTTTCCAGCGACGGTAATGGAAAGGGAGGAGGACGGGGGTGCAAGAGAGCAGAAGCCTGCGATGGTTTAAAGCACCATGCATCTTTTCTATCAGAAAGACTCCGCTGGTTATCGAGTCGATGGTTCAGCGGGCCATGAAGGAGCCGATTTGTTCTCCTTCCCTGACACAAGCTTTGGATCCAGCTAGCCACCGCACTGCAGAACACAAATCCATCTTAACAAGTTGTTTAATCTGCAATAAAAAATCCCTTAATGTGCGGCAAGACAGATTTACTTTTTGACACAACTCCACGAGGACATTGGAATCATTCAACTTGATTGAAGCGAATTCTAGGAACATGGGGAGTTGGAATAGAAACAAATAAACCGTGAGACAATATAAATCACTCCACTAGCTTAAGATTTGGTTTTTCAATCAAGTGTTGCCCCGTGGACATTGGACGACTGGGCAATTTCTATTAAAACAAGTCGAGGACACAACATTAAATGGCCTGTTGACATGTTTCTCTGGACAGAACAGACACATGTGAGACTGAAGCAATCCTCGTGTATTTAGGATCAAACCACTTTAACACGGCCTAAATTAACTTCATCACTAAAATAAAACACGGTAGCAACTTTTCATTTTGCCCCATCTAGATTAAACTCCTTAATATACACATGTTAACATATTTCACAGTATACAACATGTATTCTACTCTACAGCACTTAATGTTATTCTCTGTTTTATTCTATTAAGCAACCAGTCATGCCAACATGAATTACACTGTAATCTGTTTTTCAATTTTAGCTGTATTGTAATATTATATTTTAACTGTACTATGTATTATTTTATTGACTTTTGTTTGTTTGTTGATTGTTATGTACCTGCCGAAAGGACTGCAGATGGAAATGAGCTATTAGCTAAAATAATAATTCATCTCTTCTCTTTTCTGAGATTTGTATGCGTGGTCCTTGTTGAAATAAATACATAATAATACAAATAATATTTACTTGTATATGTACATTTGTTTATTGCAGTTCTTTCTGTGTGTTACTTTTATGTTAAGCATATCGTATGCATTCATGGATGAGCCTGGGACTGAGATGTTCTTGTGCACCTTACAATAACGTTTTTAAATCCTTGAAAATAAAAATCCATCCATCTGTTTAAAGCCTCCAACATATAGACGTTATCTTTGGACTCCGAGGCAGAGAACGGCTCGTTGAGAAAGTTACGGGTCTGTCAGCAGAGACACTGTCACTCCATCACATTGATTATTTAGACAGACCAGACGATGGTTTACAGGCCAATCAATAGTTAGGGGGAATTGTAATCACCACCAACACACACACACACATGAATGAAAGCGGCCATTCATTCTGTTTCGGGGAGTTTAGGAAGTGTGACAGCTCGCAAACACGTACAAATCTATACATCAATTCATCATACGTCCTAAACAGGTCAGCGTGTGTGTGGGCGTGGGAATAATCAAAGACACATGTGCACCCTGCTCAAAACGTCTAAGCATATGGTTCTTTATTTACTTATAAGACTAACATTTGTATTGGATCAAACTGCATTTCACAATTTATCTTTGAGAATAACAATAACAATGCTGGATGTAATGAGTAATCTTCTACAGTGCCGATGCAACAGCCGTGTTCATTTCCATTCGGAGAAACGCGCTGCAGTTTCAAAAACAAATCAAATATAAAAGACACAAATGTGCGAAAACTCTACACCAACTTGATGAGACATGTGCAGCATATTCAACATACTACAAGAAGCTGAAAAACACAGCTGGGACCGGGATGCTTGTTGGCGTTCGGGGATAATAATGTTGGCCAATGGTCAGAGTTGTTGAAAAGTAACCTTTACTGAACGTTTTATTGCCTAATTTGAGCAATTTGATCGCATGATTCCTTCCGATATTAGAGGGTTAGCTAGGTTAGCTAGCCCAGAACGTCAAACAAGCGCTTCAGTCCCAGCTGTGTGCAGGCACGTGCACACATCGACATCAAAGTGGGATTGAGCCCCTGCCCTTTTTCTTCCTCCAGAGAAAGTGCACTTTTTATGGGGTGCTTTTTTTTCTTTCAATAAATGAATATATATCTACTGCTGTTTGCGCACAGTTTCCCTTTCCAAAAATATATTGATTGAATACAAAATACAAATATCAGGTCGGGATTAGACTGTGAAGTTCCGATTCTCTCTCTACCCTCCCTCCCTCCCTCCCCCCTCCCCTCAGACATAACGATCTTTTTGCCTGTAATGTCCTTAAACAGTCATTTCATAATTTTGATTGTTGGCTGCTCATTTAATAACTATTAATTGTACTAGTTTGTTGTCTGCTCTTGTGCATAGTGAATACTAAAGAAGACCATTGTCTCTGTGTTAGCTGATTATTTTTATAGAATTCTGTTGAGTATTCAAAAATTGCCTGAGTGTGAGGGTATTAAAATTAATTGGTCAGTAAGTCAGAGATGTGCAACTATATTTAACTTTTTGTTTTAAAACATTTTTTTATAAATTATTATGGGAAGTGGACTTTTTCTCACTTGAGCTCCCGCAAAATGTCTGTGCACGTCCCTGCCAAGGCGCATGATGTCAACGGGGGGCTGGTGAACTGTCAACAGGGGGGAGCCTCGCTGAAGGGAAACGGTGGACCTAGTGGCCCATCGGGATTCGTCCCGAACGTCCCGATG